AATATTATCACTTTTAAAAATTAAAAATAAGATAAAAGAAAAAATACCTTAAAGAAGATGAAAGGGAGAGAAAAAAGAAGAGGGAATAGTTTACAAATGAAATCGCTCAAAGAGTTTTTTTTTTTCTTCTACTTTTAACTCTAATTTTACCATCAGTTCACAAATTTAACCTAATCGAAAAATTCTCAAATCCTTACATGTATATAATCAATAACAAATATATCGAATATAAACTTTAATAATGTTTTTCAAAAAAAAAAGAAAAATTGAAGGGAAAAATAAATAAATTGAAAATTGAAGAGAAAAAAATAGACAAATAATTTCTTTCTTTTAAAGTCTTTTTTTTTTTTTATCCCTGAAGTACCGTCTACAATTTATCTTCAGCAATTTTACTTTAAAAGTGAAGGATGTGATAGTTGTCGTGTTGACGATATCAACAGTCTTGTTGATTGTTGAATGTTGACTTCATTCTACAAAACTTGGGGTGGAAAATTGAAGTAGCAACAATTTATAGCAAATCAAATTTACAAAAGACTAAATGTCGGCAGATAACAGCGGGATGGAAGAAATGAGGGATAATATTTTCGGAAAACATTTTCAAGCAAACATCATTATGTTATGCACAACAGCAGTTTATTATAAACATATTCTTACATATTATTGTCATTACAAACTGTACAGATAGGCAGAACGTACATACACACACACACACACACACACACACACACACACACACACACACACACACACACACACACACACACACACACTGTGGTTAATATTTGCTATATTTTAATATCTGCCTGTGAGAAGGATAACTGAATAAATGAATGAATGAATGAATGAATGAATAAGTTAAGTTTGAATTCATTTTAATAATCGCTTAATTTCAGCATCCTTAATTTCATTTAAATTTTTGAATTAAATTTTTTTCACGACAATATCATCATATCAGATCGATATAATCGTGTCAACTTATGCAGATAATGTAATGATGGAATTGTTTGCTGAATGTATTTGTTGAACAAATGAAATGTAGGTAAAAAAAAAGTTTTAGTAATTTAAGAATGTTTAAATTTAGAAAAAGTTATGAATAAGATTATTATCACAAATTGACAGCATTTTACAATACTGTAGTAGAAATTAATTGCAAAAATTAGACTTTTTTTTTTTATTGGGAAAAAGAAAAGTATGACAAATAGTTTTATTCATAGAGGAAGAAAATAGTTCTACTAAGCTAAACTAAAATTTTAAATAACACCAAAACTATTGATATTTTGTGGAGCGGAATTGATTTGAAAAAAAAAAAAAAATTTGGTGAAAAAATTCAGATGTACAGTGAAACATTCAAGTTAGTTTGAGAATTAAATCAAACTCAATTGACTTTTTCCATCGCCCACCCATATTCGTTTTTCATTTGTTTGTTTTCAATCAATTTCATTTCATTTTCGTACCGAAAAAAAAAACTAATCAATCCTCTTCCATTTGATCATTGAATCATCACTTTTCAAAAATGAAACAAAAAAAAACAAAGGGCAAAACAAAGAAGAAAAAGACAGAAAAAATGATATTGAAAGCGGAAAATGTGTTGAAATGACAAATGCGCTTTGTACGTATGCATTGAATTCAATTTAATTCATTCATAAATAAAAAGTAATAAGAATGAATTCCGGAAATAAAAGCCTCTCATCAAAATTTAGGTCAGCTAAAAAATGCAGTACAGAGAGAGAGAGAGAGAGAGAGAGGGAGAGAGGGAGAGAGAGAGAGGGAGAGAGAGAGAGAAAAAGGTGGAAAAGAAGAAGAAAAGAAGGGACAATAGAACAATGATGCTTTATTTTTTGCATGTTTTAGATGAAATCATTTTTAAAATCGTATGTAATGCTTCTGCTAGGTTCAATTGCTTTTTTTGCATAATTTTAAGTTTTATTTAAACAGTTTAAAAAATGAATCTAATGATTTAATTTCGCTTATAGCTGTGAATATCTTCAGTTAAATAGGGAAAAAAAGAACAAGAAAGAAATGAACTCTCTCATTTGGCATAAAACATGTTTGATAGAATTTTTGAAAAGCTATAATTTTCAGTGTGAATTATAAATTTGAAGAATAGATTAATGCTAATGAAAAAAAAAGATAGAAACAAATGCTCAGATAAAAGTTAAAAAGCAGTTTAAAAAAAGAGTTGATCAATAAAAGATGACAAATCAATTAAAGAAAAAAGGTATTTGTTGATCCATTTCTTTTACTTTTCCTAATTTTACCTTTCTGATTCATCTTTAATATGGTCATATGCTTTCGAAAATTTGGATAAGAATTGTTGACATCATTTCATCACATTTTTCAATAATATTTTAGCAGATAATACTTTAACTTTGCAACAACACCAAAAAATTCCAATAAAACTTACAATCATCATGATTTTTTGGTTGAAAAGCGGAATGTCGTCTGATAAGTACTCGTCCATTTTTCAAACCATCCTAAAATTTTTATGTTTTTTCTTAAAAATTAATTTTTTTAATGCAAATATTTCATTATATTTTATGGCATAAATATTTTGCAAGAAAAAATAATAATAATAATTTTTGCTTCATGAAATAAATGAAGATTCTAAACAAGAAACAATTTTAAGCATATTAAAATTATCGAACAGAATAAATTTTCTGTAAATCTTAAACAATACCAATTGCTTGTTTATAATCTATCTATAACTTACGATGTTATAGGAATTTCAGTCCAATAAACTGACAGCTTAATTAGATTGCCGATTTAAAAAGATAAAAATAAAAAATTAAAGAGGTAATTTAAATAGGTAATGAACTTATTTGTTACAATTAAAATCATATCCGATCAATAATTTAAATAATTCTCAAAAAGCGTCGCGTTACATAATTCATTTAAATCGTATAAATATACAAGCGTATGTCACGTACGCTGCATGCCATCATATTTATTCCGTTTTATGTTAAATGCAAATGATAAATGATTATTTGATGAATAAATCAGTGATATGAAAATGATAGGAAATTTGGTTGAAATTTAGAATGAGATGAAGTGAAATTGAAAATAGCAAAAAATCAAAGATAAAAATGAAAAAAAAGACGATTGCTTAATGATGCGATCACAATTTTGTTTGATGAAATTAATGCAAATATTTGTGCATCGCTCAGTTGCTTATTTTCCGTTCCGCTTCGTATACTTTCTCCGCCATCTCAGATTACAATATCGTTTATAATATGTCTTTCATATATTTCGAGATATTATTTTATTCTCTTCCTATTTATTTCAATCATTACTTTTTTTTACAACGATATTTCATACTGTAAAGTCGATCTGAAAAACAGATATTACGATTTCGCTTTGTCCTCTTTTTTTGAAAATTAAATGTAAAATTATGATTTTGAATTAATTTTTTTAAAATTTTTTTTAAATTCATTTTTTCTCCAAATTGAAATGATTAATTTGATAAAATAAAATGATGCTTCCAACATGAGCGTCATTGCAAGAAGAAAGAGAAGCTTTTTGTTTGTTTTTTTTTTTTAAATTATTATTTGAACATTTTGTAATCTTCCATTTTTAAATAATTATATCAATTTTCTGACTAATTACTATTGATTAATTGCATTCATGTTTTGTGTAATTATTTCTAAAACTTGACCGCGCACTAATAGGCCTAAAAAGTGTGGCATTTAAAAATTTAATTATAGCTTCAATCTACGAAGCGAATTGTAAATTTTTGTTGCATATTCAAGTTGCATTTCACATCATAACAAAGAATGATTGTAATGTTAGACGGTGATGTGTTATACCAAGGTCATATGAGTCACACTTACTGTAGTGGATAGGCAATTTAAATTATATAACCTTTGGGAGCAAAAGCTGCTAAAGCTTGAGCGGCTTATTAATTTGAAAAAGTCAGCGCTCTGCTTCATTTTCAACAATTCACCAACAATTGCTATGAAATTATTATAATGATTATGGCATATTGGACACTCAAAACATGGCAATTCTATGAACTAATATGTTTTCAGAGAAGCTAAAAGTTCAAAAATTAAAACTTTACACTTCATTGTAACAATGAATTAAAATGTCTGATATTAAAATGCTAAATTTTATTGATGACAAACAAAGGAACAATCAAATTTATTTAACTTAAAAGCGTAAACATCGTTTTGAAAAATAATTGAAGCCATGGAAAAGCTTTACCAATCTAATCAAACATCTTTTCAAAAAAAAAAAAAAATGAAAAGAAAAATAAAAAGGAAAAAATGAAATGATGGAAATTTGTCGCGGAATCAATTATATATTTCAAATCATCAATTTAGATTTTTTTTAAACAATATAATGTAATAAAATTATAAATCCTAATTAACTTCCATCTGTGCATTTAAAAGATTTGACTATCGAAGTCTAATTGCAATTAATATATTGTGTTGCACCATATATATATATATATATATATTATCAGATAAACTGATAAGCAGGTGACAGTAAAATAATAAACGAAAAAAAAGAAATTAACGAACATGTTTACTTTTGTGACCTAACGTAGCTGTTGTATATTTTGACGTTGTTCGTGGTCGCCTATAAATTAAAAAAAATTTCAGGAAAGTTCAATACAATGAATAAACTCGGTTAATAATATAATCGACATAAAGTAAATATGTTCAGTTATTACTGTTTTCTTTTTCGTTTGGATAATATACTAATTAAAATAAAATATACTAATAATTACAATACTAATTAAAGTATCAGATAAAATAATGAATTCATCTATCTAAATTAATCATAACTGTAAGTAAATAAACAAAATTTTTTGACAGTTCCGCTCTATATTGTTTTCATAAAATTATGAATTGAAATGTTTGCATTTTTCACATTTTCAAAAATTTCCTCAATTTTCCATAAACCAATTTCTATTCGATAATCATATATTAATTATAACAGCAAGAAATATCATTTTTCTTTTTTGTTCAGTAACAGATGTAATTTAAATTGATGGCAAATGCAATTCCGATTTCTTTTTTTTTTTTTGTTCAGAATTTAGGTATTTATAAAGGTTTTTTTAAATTGAAAAAAAAAACATAAGATTAATTAAAACATTTTCATTAATTAAAACATTTAAAACACTTTTTCAGTTTAATTTCCAAATAGATATGAACACTGCGTTTAATTGATGAAATAGCAAAAAAATTAATGAATTACTCTAAGACAGATGAAACTAACAAGGACTGCTTGAGAGTATTACCAATAGCTGCTTCAAGTTTCTCTAAACATGCAAGAGTTCGTGATGCATCAATATTTGAATTATCGAAATTTAATTCTGGAAATAAAAAAAACCTCGTTTACGTCACATTTGTTCATTTATTGACATTTTAGAGATATATGTTAGGTAAAGTATGAATTGAGTGCAAAATTTGATGTTTTTTTTTTTTAATTTAACCTTTAAAATATTTGTTTAAAAACAGGTTTCATCTGCTAGCATCATCAGTTTAAAATTTATTTTATGTCGCAAACTACGAAATTTCAGTAGTGTTTGCATCAATGATTTTCTGAACATTACTTGTATACATTATTGTAACTATAACTATTAACTTTTTCATCCATTTGGATTATTCATCCATTTCAAAATTTTATTATGATTTTTTTTTTTTAAATGAAATACATTGCTCGAAAATGAAAAAAAAATTTGATGTTGCATATAATTGTATTAAATGATCCAAATAATTGGAAATGAAAGATTTTATGGTACAATTTTCTTTAAAATCAATTAAGCATTTCTAAATTTGAAATGAAAAAAAATTAAAATAATAGCCGTTAATGCTGTTTTTTTTTACCTTTAACACTATGAATCAGTTGACTAGCAGGTAGTAAAACATGAGTTGTTTTGAAAGCCGGATAACGGACCAATAAATCACGGACCGTTTGTGATACCAATGAAAGTGCCGAATGTACTGATACACACATTGACTTACCATCTATAAGTAACAGCAAACAGTTAAATTAAAATTATTTCAACTTCTGCTCTGATAACTATGATACGTGAAGAAAGAAAAAGTAATTTTTATTTAAGAAGAAAAAGTTGAAGTAATTTTTATTACTTAAAAGAAGCATTTATGTTAAAATTAATTGTTAATTAAATAATTCATCAATGGTTAATTTAATATTTAATATTCCCGAAGAATATTATAATTTCTAGGATTAATTATAAGAAAATAATTTTACATTAATTTATGATTCATTTGATTGGTCATCTCTGACCAAAAATCATTAAAATTAATTTTGGTTTCCTTCTTTTTGTTATGATTTCAACTAAGTTAGTAAAGTGCAACAAAAAAAAAAAAAAATGAACCGTTCGTATTGGTGGAAGGATCAAGTGATTGACGTAATCGTTCCGCATGATTTGCAAATTGCTCAATGTCATTTACCAATGCATCAGTTAACTGAAATGATAACTCTTTACTGATAATGTTGAAATTATCATAATGGATTTTTTTCAATATGAAAGAAAGAGTTGACTAGGTGAACTAAAATAGCAAAAAAATTTTTTGAAAATGAAGGAAAAAAATATTTTGAAATTACATGAAAAAGCGAATTTTTGAATAACAAAAAAGATCAATTATAAATGACCAACTAATTTTGAGCAAAATCCGATTATCATAATATTTCAAATT